CCTTACCCTTTCTGTTTCCATTTCAGCTCTTTCCCCACAGCCACCACTTTCCCCTGGCCCAGGATTTCTTAGCCTCAGCACTATTAAAATATGGGGTCACATAATTCTTGGTGGTGCTGGGCCATCCTGTGCAATGTGGGATGTTTAGCAACATTTCTTGGCCCATTCTGTCACACATCCCCCACCCCACTCCCCAGTTATGACAACCAAAATTATCTCCAGACATTGTCAAAAGCCCCCTGAGAATGCCCCATTGAGCATCACGGCTCCCGTCCTTTCCCCTTTCACGTGAAGCCTTCACTGGTTAAGCTTTTACCATGTGGAAGACTTTGGGTTAATTACTTCATTTATTTTATGTAGGTGCTTCTCAAATTTTAATGTACATAAGAATCACCTGGGGAGTTTCTTAAAACTCTCATTCGGGTTCAGCAGTTTGGGGGAAGGGCTTGAGATTCTGTATTTCTCACAAGCTCCCAGGTATTGCTATTGCTGCTGGTCCACGGACCACACTTTGAGTAGCAAGGCTCTATGCCATTGTGTCTTTGTGGCCCAATAAGAACGTGATTTTACACTTGAGGAAGCTGAGGCTCAGCTCATAGGTGGCTCAGTCACAGTTGAACCCAGGTCTGCCAGCAGGCAAAGCTCTTCCTCATACCCAGCAATCACAGTTGATGTTGGGCCAAGGTCCCTGAGTTCTCTCCTAGCCTCCTTTCCCAGGTAATTGTGTTACCATAAGCTCAGCAGAGCCTGAGACCCAGGCACGTGTTTGCCTGGAATGTTCATGTTACCTTAATCCTTCCTTAGACAGAATGAGCTACTCATGACCCCAGTTGGATATCCTGGATCTGAGCGAACTATATCCATGAGCTCATGCCTCTGTTCCAGCCTGCCCTGCTAACAGCTCATCCCTCCTGCCTATCAGAAGACAGTCATCTAGGACTGCAGCTGCCCTGGAGGCTCAAATTCTCTTAGCTCCCTGACTTCACTGTCTGTCTAGCATTTTCAGCCCTCTCCTCATTTGTTGCCCCAACTCTCTTTGTTTTCTTTTCTGTTTTATCAATGCCTCTTGGCATCTTCATTCCACAGTAGGGATTTTTAGTAATGCCTTCAACCCTGAAGGGGAAAAAAACCCAACAACAGTGGTGTGATGTGGGACCCCCATCACAACCAGAGGGCAAGATTCGGGTCATCCCGGAGCAAAACAAAGGACTCAAGCTTGGTCCTTGTAGAGGCAGTGGCAACAGGCCAGACTGGAGATTGCAGACTGCCTGTCTGAGAAGACAAAGAACATCGTGTGTGTGATGGAGGGAAGGGATGCTGGTGCCAGAGAGGCTGGGAAGGGTCCGCCAATTGGAGAGACTGGGAAGGGTCCACCAATTGGAGAGACTGGGAGGGTCTGCCAATTGGAGAGACTGGGAAGGGTCCGCCAATTGGAGAGATTGGGAGGGTCTGCCAATTGGAGAGATTGGGAGGGTCCGCCAATTGGAGAGACTGGGAAGGTCTATTCCTCCCAGTGTCTGCCTTCTGTACTGAGCTGGAGAAAGTTATCCTGCCCCTCACAGCACATCTTACTCCTGGACCCAGGTTAGGAAAACTCTTAGAAAGTTTGTGTGAAAAGGTACCTTAGAGAGAGCTCAGCAACCTCTCCCTGTAAAGGACCAAAGAGCAGATATTTTAGGCTTTGCAGGCCACATGGCCTCAGCCACAATGACTCATCTTTGTCCTTGAAGCACAAATCAGCATAGACAAGGGAACAAATGGGCAAGACTGTCCCAATACACTGTACTTATGGATACTGAAATTTGAATTTCACAAACTTTTCACATGTCACGGAATAGCATTCTTTTGATTAAAAAAAATATTTAAAAATGTAAAAAACATTCTTACAGCACAGGCCAGGCCTCTCTAATTACTGACAATGAATCTCTTGTTTCATGGAGTGTCTTGTAGACAAGCATTGCCTAGGACTAGGTTCTGTGAGATGTGCTTTGGGAACACCACTGTGGTGTACCCCTCATTTTACACACGGGGAAGCTGAGGCCTGTGTGCCTTGCCAGCTGGAGGTACATTCAGGTCTCATGGCTGCACTGATGCTCCTGACATGTCACACTGCCCCTTCCCCTGGTACATTCAGGTCCCATGGCTGCACTGATGCTCCTGACATGTCACACTGCCCCTTCCCCTGGTACATTCAGGTCCCATGGCTACACTGATGCTCCTGACATGTCATACTGCCCCTTCCCTGGTACATTCAGGTCCCCATGGGTGCACTGATGCTCCTGACATGTCAGACTGCCCCTTCCCCTGGTACAGTCAGGTCCCCATGGCTGCACTGATGCTCCTGACATGTCAGACTGCCCCTTCCCCTGGTACAGTCAGGTCCCCATGGCTGCACTGATGCTCCTGACACGTCAGACTGCCCCTTCCCCTGGTACAGTCAGGTCCCATGGCTACACTGACGCTCCTGACATGTCACACTGCCCCTTCCCTGGTACATTCAGGTCCCCATGGCTGCACTGATGCTCCTGACATGTCAGACTGCCCCTTCCCCTGGTATATTCAGTTCCCATGGCTGCACTGATGCTCCTGACATGTCAGACTGCTTTTGCACCCAGTGAGCCTCAGCAGAGCAGCACAGTCCGAGGGTAGCCCACTGGACACCAGGTCTCCCAGGTTCAGACCTGGCCATGCACACACATGAATCTAAGGAGGGCATATATTGGTTGAGTATGTATAACCCTGGGTGGCTGCATGTCAGGAAACACTCCTAAAATTTCTGCCCCTAACCCATTAAAGAAGTACTTGTGGGTTATCCTTAGCTTCCTGGTTACTGTCCCATCATTAAAGAGCATAATTATTGAATGATTTCGGCATTAAGGAGATGGTGTCCTCTACCAAGCAAGAATGTATTTATATGTGTACAGAATTTACAGATCACCTCTGTGCTGTTTGCTCCTTATATCTGCCTCTGGGGAAAGTAGGGCAGTCTCCTTTTTGCTCCCTCCCCTTTGTTTTAATGTTATAGATACAGAAACTGAGGCTCAGGAGACATGCCCCTGGTCACATAGACAGTGGCAAAGCCAGAACTCAGACTCAGGTCTCATCCTGTCTCAGGGCAGCTCTCTCCATTTCCCCACTGTCTTAAAGTGAAGGGTGACTAGTCAATGAAGTAATTCTCTAGGAAAGCATGACCAGTTTCCCTTTCCCACCTCCCTCTTCTTCCTCCGCCCCTTCCCCAGCCCCCATATATATGGATCTCCACAAAGCCTGCACACCTTTACTTTTGCAATAGCTTCCACAGCTGGGACAGGAACCTTCCACCCACAGTTACATCCTGACTGGTGAGTGGTGCGGGTGCCTGCCTAACTTCCCCCTCTGTGGCAGCAGCCAGCCACCTCCAAACAGCAAACCCCAAGCATCAACTCCAGGCCTTGAGGTGAGTGATGTAGGAATTCTTGAGCACTTTGCTGTGAAGCATCAGATGGCTGCATCATTGGGGATGGGGTTGGGAAGGGCAGAAGTCAACTTTTTCAGTGTATATGTGAAGATAAGATATAACTGTGGCCCTGCTGGTGTGGCTCAGTGGTTGAGCACTGACCTATGCACCAAGAGGTTGCTGGTTCGAGTCCTGGTCAGGGCACGTGCCCAGGTTGTGGGCCAAATCCCCAGTGGGGGGCATGCAGGAGGCAGCCAATTAATGTTCTCTCTCATCGATGTTTCTATCTCTCTCCCTCTCCCTTCCTCTCTCTCTAAAATCAATAAAGAAGGTGGATGAGGAGCTGCTTTCTCTGACTTCACCCCAAGAAGATTAAGGCTGGATGGAGGAAGAGCAGAAGGGTTATGAGGCCCAGAGATGAATTTTCAAGAGAGGCTTTGGAGCCTGTGGAGTTTGAGAGGGCAGAATGGGAAGACCCAGGGAGACACTAAGCTCACACTCGCATGAAGAAGGGCACCGGGCACTGGTCTTGGGCCCCACGTCTCTGCCCACATGTTGGCAGTTGTTCTAGAGGCAGGTCTTCTCCCATTTTCCTGCCCAGTCTTGACGTGAAAGACTGAGTGTCTTCAGGTGTGAGACCAGTGCCTGGACTATGAAAGGTCCTGGAATGGTTGTGGAAGGAAGGAAGGAAGAAAGGAGAGAGGAAGAAAGGGACGGAGGAAAAGAAGAAGAAAGCAAAGGGCAGAGAAGGCAGAGAGAGGGAATGCTGTGCGAACAGTTATGATAAATAGATCATGGGTCACCCTTCTCTGGCTCGGGGCCTCTCCACACAGTCATTCCCAGCTGGCACTCTAGTGGAAGTTTTTAAGGTGATTCATCCAGAAAAGTGACTCCTCCCTCTTGTTCAGTTACCTGAAAAGCCAATTCTTAGGGTCGAAAGTGAGCCGTCAGTTGCAGTAACAGAGTGAGAGTGTGCCAGGACGAATTCCTCAGATCCCTTGTGACGAGAAGTCAGACATGGCCCGGGATGAGACAGAGTCCTGCCCAGGTGTGCCTGGTACCTTAAGGGCAGAACTCAGAAGAACAAACACTTAGTTAAGTTCTACAAACCTGAATTTGGGCTCCCTATACATGTTCTTTGCCACATTATAATGCCAGACTCCCCCAACCCCCCATTTCTTCACTCTTCTTGGTCAACTTCTGACTAGCAGGTTGTTGGCTAGAAAGAACTGTATGGAGTAAGAAAGGAGATGCCGAGTGTGTGTGATGTGGATGGGCACCATGGGGTGGGCGATAGATAGTGAAATAGCGAGACCCGCATGAGATGAGGGGCAGAAAGACCCTCACCCTACCTCAGTACACCCCATGTGTGCAATATTCTAACTCTGAGAACCCACCCTAGTCTCAGGTTTCCTCTCTGTGGGTCCCAAGGCTGGCTGAGGCAGCCAAGGAGCATTGTTTCTGCGTATACCCTGGGTATACCACTCCTGGGCCGGAGCACCTGCCTCAGTGGACTGTCTCCCTTTCTTCCAGCAGGATCCTCTGGGTCTTTCCTTCGCTGCGGATGGGCCCTCCAATGCAGAAGGCTGCTCTCCCCTGCCTGAGTCTCATCCTGCTTATCTGGAGCCAGGGTCCGGGGGTCCAAGGCCAAGGATTCCAATTTGGGCCCTGCCGAGTGGAGGGGGTCGTTCTACAGGAACTGTGGCAGGCCTTCTGGGCCATGAAGGACATTGTGGTGAGTAAAGTGTCCATCTGGACCAGTTGTGGGTGTGACTGTGGGGGGATACTATTTTATGAGCATGGAGTCTTTGGTAGCTTGCTAATCATTTTCCTATGGAATAGCATTGTGAAGTTCGAGACATCGTAACCCCACATTTCCTCTTGCACATGAGGAAACTGAGGCTCAGAAAGACATGGTCAGTCTATAGGAAAATAAACACAGCCCAAGAGGAATGAAGACTGGAGCCTATTCATCCGGGCTTCATCTGCATCCCAGGGGACATGGGAATCCACCAATGAGAAGTCATGGGAAGTCCTTTGAGTCCCACCTACTGGAATTTTCACCTACTGTTGAGCCAGGATCTGGCTAGTTTTTTTTTTTTTTACACCACCTGCTTACACTTTGCCTAAAGGTAGAAAGGATGGCTCATGCTGAGGTGGGATGGGCAGCTTGTGTCATGTGACTGGGTTTCTCCTGGGCCTGTAAGTGCTGAATATGCCCTCACAAATGCACTCAACTCCTTAAAGGGACAGTCCAGAGGCAAGGCAGAAAGGGGGAGCTCATGGGGCAGCCTGGCCAGGGGAGAGTGCTGCACTGGGGACAGGACACCTGTATGTGATCCTGACCGTGAAACCAGCCCACACAACCCCCACCCCCCATCAGTTTCCTTATTTGCACAATGAGGATGTGAGACACAGGAGCTTGAAAGCTCCTTCCTCTCAATGGCTCTTGCTAAACCAAGAACTAAAATGAATGAGTGTCTGGGCTGCAGGGAAAGCTCCAGGGTGAGAAAAGCCCCACCTCCCACCCTCATGGAAAAAGGAGGGAAAATCCTGCCAGTAGTGGTTCTTAAACCAAATATGGTTATTTCTTCCTGTCTCAAATGGCCGAAGGAATCAAACAGGTCTCTGATCAAGGCTCTGAGAACTCCTGGGATTGCATCTGCCCCTGGGGGCCAAGTTCAGTCATTTTCTGTGGCTGAAACCTGGATCTCCACCTTCAGGGCCAGCTCAGCCCAGACCTTCCTGGGTACCCCTCTGGCCTCTGAGATCTCACAGACCAGAGCGATTTAGCATGTACTTGCACGGTTGGTTTCTATGCCGTCTCCCAACCTGAAGACATCTTTTCTTTCTGTTCCCAAAGCAAGCTCAGGATAACATCATGAATGTCCGGCTGCTGCGGAGGGAGGTCCTGCAGAACGTCTCGGTAATCAGACCTCCTCGGGGGAGGACGATGGCTGGTCTGCTGTGGGTGAGGGTGAGGGGTTGTCTGGGAAGGCTGACAGATGACCTCACTCCTGTCCCAGCTGGGCCTACACAGGACAGGGCCGGGCAGTGAGCCAGGGAAGTTAATGCATGGGGTCCTCACCCAGGACCTGGGTTAGGTGGGCATGTGTGTGGTGGCATGGGGCGAGGGTGGAGGTTCAGGCTCATAAACATGTCTCCGTTTACTCAGAGTTACTATCAACCTTTCTCTTTGCATCTGCTTGGGCCTCTTCTGTTTCCATCCTTTGATCTCACCCATTTCTGTCTTCTCGCTGCCTACCGAGCCGGTCAGTGAGCACACAGATACCACCCTGATCCCTGCAGGCGCTGCGCTGTACTCTGGCACTTGAGGGGACGGAAGTGCAATCCCTGTTTCAAGGGTGCTGTTTCTTTCTCCTCATTTCTTCTCCTTCCAGTCCCTTCCCCGCCAACTCACAACCACCAAGTTTCGAGTGCTTTTCAGAGTCTATCACCTCACATGGCTATTAAGGAAGTCATGGGGTGCGGAAGAAAGAGTATCAAGCAGGTGGGGAGTCAGGAGTCCTGGGAATGAGGCCTTGTCTGCCACTGACTAGCTGTGCGGCCCTGGGCAAGTCCTTCTCTCTGGGTCTGTGGTTCCTCCAGGAAACCAAAGGCGCCTCCCTTCACGCTCCCGAGGGCTCCTTCGGATCGAACGTTTAGCAACATCTCCTAGAAGATCCCTGCTTCTTTTGTGCCCATCTTGCCTTGGAGACACATGGGTGGTTTATCCAGGGCCGGGTGGGCAGGGGCCTTGGCTCCACTGTGACCCAGTCCCTCCTCAGGACGCTGAAAGCTGTTACCTCGTCCGTGCTCTGCTGAACTTCTACTTGAATACCGTCTTCAAAAACTACCATAAGAAGGCAACTGAGCTCAGGATCCTGAAGTCATTCTCTACTCTGGCCAACAATTTTATTGTCATCCTGTCAAAACTACAACCCAGCGTGAGTAGAACAAAGTTGGGACCAGGGCCGATGGAAAACGGTGCGCTTTGAGAGGACTCCCCTCCCCTTATCTGGTCCTGGCTTTTATTCCATGACAGGGAGTCAAGTGAAAAGAGCACAGGCTTAGTGCACCAGCAGTTCTGGGTTCAAGTCTAGCCCTGCTTCTAACCAGCTGGTTGGCCTTTTGCAAGGTGCCCAACCTCTCTGGCCCTCAGTTTTCTTACCTATAAAATGAGATGATCACCCCCACCTGGCAAGTCGGCTGTGGGAATTAGAGGTGCCCTGCCACATGTTGGGGCTCCTTGAGGATGTGGACTCAGCGCTGTCCTCTTAGGCCTTGGGACCCCTCTGGCGTCACTAGGAAGGAGCGGGAGGGGGCTTGCCTCGGCTCCTGCCCAACACTTGGCACAACTTTTTTTCTGTTACCCAGCAGGAAAATGAGATGTTTTCCATCCGTGAGAGTGCACGCAGGAGGTTTCTGCTGTTCCAGAGAGCATTTAAAAAGGTAATCCAGGCCAGGAGCTCAGGGCTTGCTTGAACTCTCACAGTAAGATGCCTCGGAGACCTGGTGCAAAATGCAATGCAGGTGACCTCCAGGCTTCCCCACAGGGATTAGCATGTATTTTGCATAAGTACCACAAATTACATACTATATGTTCCTGCCAGTTTTCAAATTAAAATGCCATTATATTTCTCTATAAGATGATTTCACTACTGAGAATTTTACTTGTGAGAAAGCTAATGGGTACTTGAGCTGGACAATTGGAGTCAGAAGTGAGGGAGAAAGAAGGGAGACCACCCCGTAACCCCTCCATACACATCCCTATACACAGTATTTTCCATAATGCTCAAATGGTCTAGTTGCTGAGGGAAAAAAAAAAAACCACGGGAAAATATATTACATCTCCCAAATTAATACAACGAAGAAAATCCAAATTTCATCCCAGCTACTCCATCCCCCCAAACATATATGATTTTGATCACTTTTTAAAGGAACAGATACATCAGCCTAAAAATAAACAAAAAGCAGTAACACACAAAGGGAAGCGACCACCTGGGCCTCAGTATCACCATCTGCACAGTGGACTCAGGAGGCGGACCAGATTCTATGGTTCTTGTTATCAGGGGCTCCAGATGCTTTTTGCTTGCTTCTGACCCCCTGCTACGCATTGTCCCACTGTCCTCAATCCTGAAGCAGGCAACACACATAGACAGGGGACGAGTGATCGGTGGGAGAGTTCATCAGAGGCCATTCCAAAGGGGACGCTGCCCACGACGTGGAGTCAGGCCAGGGGTGGGGCGGAAGGAAACTTGTGCTGGCGGCTAACATGGCAGACCCTCAACTCTTCTTTCCCTTCAGCTGGACAAAGAAGCAGCTCAGATCAAAGCCTTTGGAGAAGTGGACTTTCTCCTGACCTGGATGCAGAGATTCTACCAGCTCTGAAGGCCTGGACCAGAATACCTTCCTCGTTCTCCATGTCATTTCAAGAGTGACACAATGTCATTTCCTGTGATGTTCTCTGGGTGCTTCACACCCCTGACCATGGGTCCCATTCTTGGTCTAGGCTTGTCCCCAAAGACTTCATTCTACAAGTGGCCCCAACAACTAAGTCAGGAAAGTTTCCCTCAGATGCTGTGAATAATCTATGAAGCAGGTGCCTATATTTATTACAACTCTATTTAATTCCTGTCAGTGTTTTAACCGATGTTATATTTATTTGTGAGACTAAGTTCTGTGAAGACACCGGAGTCAATGCCCCTGGCTTCTCTTTTATCCTCCATGATCCTTGGAACCATATGGGGCAGTGAACAGTAAATGACTAATAAGCTGGATTTTTTTCAAATGTCTTTGAATTGTTGGGGAACGATGAGGGATGGTGGGATATAAAGTTGAACATTTGGGCATGGAAATCGCATTGTCATGACAACTCCAGGATGGGGTGGGGGTGAAGGGCAGTTTAAAATGTAAATGAGAAAAGAGAGAATGTGTTCCGTGCCCAACACAAAGCAGGCTCACTAAGCATTTCATTTCTTGCCCACACTCCCCAGTCCGTTCCCACCATCCATTCCCCTTGGATGACCTCCTTCCTTATCCTACTCATTCTTCCCCGATCTGCCACTTGAGCAGGTGCCAGAGTCAAGCAGACATTGCTGATGGTGACATTGTACCTGGATGGACTCTCCAATCTGTGATGACATTCCCTGCTAATAAAAGGCAGGGGACTCAAGCTTGGCAGTCTTGCCTTACTATTTCCAGATGAGTGCCCAGTGAGGCTGAGTTGTGTGTTTGGGAAAGACCTTATTCCTAACAGCAAGACTGGGCATTCTCTAGTCTCAGGCTCTAGTTGAACTTTGTCGTTGACTTCAGTTTAAAGATACAGTGTCTGCCTATACCCTTGCTCAGAAAACTTAAGTGGAAGAGTTTATGGAAGAGACTCTTCCCCCATGACATAAGTGCTATTGCTGAGCACCTGGCTCTCCAGGGATCCCAGGCCATGATTCCCCCACTCCCCTTGCTATAATTACTTGGAACTGGCAAAGAGATAAGGTGCATTTCTGCAAGCAGAGAGATATAATGGTTTGGATGGCTAAGATAGAGCAACGTTAGATAAGTGCACAAATACCAGTGTTGGGGCATGGAAGAAAGACAGAGGCATCAAAAACTATTTCTAAAAAAGGGGCATTTCTAGGGTCCTTATGAGCATCAAGGAAAGGAGACTTAAAGAGGATTTAGGGATATAGGGAGATATCTATGGTTGTGGAAATTTAGAATCCTTCATCACATCAAAAGAAATTGCCCTTATCTCAGGGCACAAGTAAGTGCCACCCTTAATTAAGATCAGGGCAAAGATGTTGCCAAGGGCAGTGCATACCTGGCCTCTTCCTAGCTCACAGGGCTGCGGCATGTCCTCACAGTGCAGTCCAGTGGCCATCTATTGGTAGGAAGACAGGCCTGGGAAGGATTCCAGAAGCAACAGCTATGCCTATGCTCCAGCCCAATGCCACATGGTCTGGAGCCAAGACAGCAAAAACCCTGTGATCAAAGATAGTCTGCAAATCCCACAGCCTGTTACATGGCTTGAAAAGGAAGCAGGTGGTATGGGGACAAATGCTCTGCATGCCAGAAGCCACCTGAAAGCCACAGGACTTTGCAAAGGTGTGCAAGAAGAGGTGTCGGGCCTGAGCTATACTCTGGGCAATCAGACAGGGATGAGACTCAAGGTGGGGTGTGGGAGGTAATGAGGGCTCTGAAAATAGATGGAGCAGGTGTTGGAAACCTGCAGACAAACAAGACTCATTGGCACCAAGGTTTGGGCCCAGGGGGACAGCTGGAGGGATGAGGCAGGCAGGAAATATTGACATAGTCATCAGAATCAGAGTCCTCCATCTTGGCAGCAGGCTGGTGGTAGAAGCTCATATATTCACAGCTGGTCTTCAGAGATGGCACATGGGGCCAGGGAGCTTCAGACACCTGGGAACAACCAAAGAAGCATCACTAGATCTGGGGAAGGTGATTCTAGTATTTCTCCAGGCAGATTCCCACAGTGGGCAACGGCGGGCATGTGTACAGTTGCTCTTCCAGACACAGAGGTGGCTGAGCTCCATCAGGTGTCTCAGCCCCGGGGATTTTCAGGGTGGCATCTCACCTGAGATGACTGGAAAACACATAGCTCTCATGTGGGCAAGAAATGCCTTAAATGGGGCTCAGACGAAAGTTACGTGGCTAAGCACCAGCTGCCAGAGAAGTTTCCCCTCTGGGATGAGATGAGGTGACTTGTGGAATGAATGTACATCTCCTTAGGGAGTTACTCAGAAGCAGGTGAGTCACCCCCTGCACCTCTGCGAAGGCTCGGATGACGTGGTGTGACGGTGCATTCCAGGAAGGGGCAGGTGGTGAAGGGAGAAAGGCAGCAGGGCATGTGGGTACAGTGGTGTTTCTTTTCCCCACACAGAAACTTTGGAATCATCTGGCTTCAGGATCGATCAGTTCTGGGGGGACAGGGCTGAGCCATAACCCCAACACGGCACAATTATTGTAACATCCACCCAAGAAGGCTGCGGTGGTGATGAGTCACATGTTTAAACACAAGTGCTGAGAACTAGAAGTCCACCCCCTGAACACAGCAGGCACTCAGTAAGTGCTCATTGAAAGGACCTGCTACTTTTTGTACTTATCTCCCATTGCCTGTTACAGTTCACCATTTGAGATTAATTTATTTGGCTTAAAACATTAAACTATTCCCTGTGAAGGCTGAAATATTCAGCCACTAATCATGTGCACCTTGTTGTGAACTTGTTCCATCAAGAGATTTTTGTCCCTAATAGTAGGAATGAACGTTTCAAGCAGGGAGGAGGGTAAAATTTGAGCAAGCTACAGGCCCAGGTGAGGGTGTGCGTGGTCACAGGCAGTGCAAGAGAAAAGGGCGTGTGCGAGGGTAGAGTGGGTAGAGTATAGGCACTGCTGGACCTGCCTAAGCTACCGTGCACCCTCTCTAGCAGGGGTGAGTGACAGCTGGAGGCGAGTGTGGCAGAGCTGTCACTTGCTGCTGGGCATCACTATTCTCTTTGTAGCAAGGCACATGATCGCCCAGACAGGGACTGCATTCCTCAGCCAATGGAATGCCAGAGGAAGTGATGTGTGAAACTTCAGGGTTACATCTTAAAGAAGCATCTTTCTTTTTCTGCCTCTCTGGGCTGGAATGTGGCTGTTGAGCATTGACCATGGACCAGGAAAGATTCCAGAGGAGGGTGAAGCAAAAAGACAGGAGATATTTTAGTTCCTAGATGACCTGCCACTTCTTACTGCCCTTACTTCCATTTTACGAGCTCTCTGTTTTAGGGCCTGTTGCATTAGCTTAGTCTACACGCTAATTACAAATGGGACATTGACCACTTAGTTTTTCCTGTTCCCTAGGGAATAGTGTTTTAGCTACTGTGGGCTACTTTAGAGAATAACATTTTTTTTTTCTTGATTTGGGAAAACAAAGAGGAGTGGATAGTTTAAAGGCTTTTTACCCATCTGCCAATGGCCATGGATAGACACATGAGTTCCTATGACCATTCCTAGATTTCAAGAGGAACGCTCCTCACCCCAGGTGTTGAATCCTCTGTACATTCTGACCTCTGCCAGGTCATCCTCTTCTAGGCCAAGATTAACTACCTCCAGCGATGGTAAACTAACTCTTCTCATCTAAGAGAGTTTACTAGAAAGTTCTCCTTCATGTTAAGGTGAAAGTGTGTAGCCTCCCCCTCTACCCCCCCAAGGCCTCCTAGAAATCGAATCTCTGCTACATGAAAGCCCTTCATGTGTTGTAGGACTACATGTATCAGTGTGGACTAAACACGCATGCTCGGCTAAAAGCTACGTAACTAAGGCTACCCGGTTGCTGGGTGGTCCTTCCACTGACACCACTGACCGGGAAACACCCGACTGGTTTCCGGACTGCGCCCAGAACTTCTGGGAAAGCCGGCGCCCGGGGCTACGCGGCCAGAGGACCTGCCTCGGTCCACGCCCAGTCGGGCCGCCGGGCGGATCAGGGCCGGGACGCAGCTTACCTGCGGCGGGGCGGGTGGCGCAGAGGGTCCGGCCCCCTGCACTGGGGCCTCTCCCGCACCTGGGGGAACAGGGAGGCCGGGATGAGTGCGTGCCCGAGGGTCTGGCCCCAACCCCAGTCCGCACGAAGCCCTGGCGTGGGAGAGCCGGCCCTGCGGCCCCCGATTTTCCTCCAGGCGCCGGGACAGGGCGCCCCCTGCGCCCCCACGCGGCTCGGCAGCTCCGGCTCGCCCACTGACCGACGGGCCTCGCCCCCTCCACTCCCCACCCCACCCCACCCCCCACTGCCCCGCACGCACCGCCCGCTCCCTGTAACCCCCTCCCCCCGGCACAGGGCGCTCCCTCCGCCCCCACGCGGCTCGGCAGCTCCGGCTCGTCCACTGACGGACGGGCCTCGCCCCCTCCACTCCCCGCCCCCACTCCCCGTAGGCCCCCCCATCCCCTCTCACCCGCAACCCCCCTTCACCTGTACCTCCCCCCGCTCGCCCCCGGCTCAGCCATCACTCCTGCTCACCCGCAGCGTGCGCCCCCCGGTCGCGTCGAGGACAGGCACTGTAGACGTTGTTTTGGGAGCGTGGCCGCGGTGACACCCGAGGCCTCTGCGACAGAGACCGCTGCGAGGCCTCCAGGGCGCTCATCCTCACGGCCAGTCGGCGGACCCGCCTGGAGAGAGCTTCTCCGCCAAGAGCCACAGGGAAAGAGGACAGCTCACTGTCTTACCCCCACTGAAGACCCACGGGCGCAGGCCACTCTGCTCGTCGTCCCCATCTCCAGACTATTCACCCAGCCCTCGTTCCCCATGCCGCGGGCCGCTCATCGAAAGCTCCCGAGTTTCCCCGGGGATCCACCGGAATCTGGATGCTCTGGGCCCCCTTGAGCCCCCCAGTTCTCCCCAACCAAGCCCCAACCACTCACATTTCTTCCTTAGAATGGCCCTTTTCACCAGCAGCCCCAGAAGTGTCAGCAGGAGGAGGCCCAGCATGGTGGGGATCAGGATGTGAAACCCCTGGTCTTCCATTCGGGACGCGGGGCCATGGTTGAAGGCTCTGAGGAGGGAAGGGGGGAGGGAGGTTTAAGGAAGTACTCTTGAGTGGCAGCGTTTTGGAGATGGCTGTTTGTCCCTTTGTTACCCAAATTTTCTCCCCTCCCAATGAAGAGCCTTGTTTCTGGAGTCAGGAAACCTGGGTTCAAATTTAGGCTCAGCTTTTGACTGGCTGTGTGATCTTGAACCAGTCTCCTAACTTCTCTGAGCCCCATTTCCCTGTAAATGGGTCTAGTAAAACCTATTTCACAGAACGGTCTAAGGATGAACCAAATAATGGATAAAAAGAACTTAATGCACCTGGTCTAAGCATCAGTCAAGAAAAACAACAACCAGACCCTCTTCTAGCTTTCTGCACCTCAGTTTCCTCACAAGATTATTGCAAATATTAAATGAATTAGCTTCTTTTAACTGTGGAAAAGAGGATGTTTTTGTCATGGTGCTCCCTCTGCCTGGAAGGCCTTCCCTCAATTTTCTCCACATATCGAAATCTCCCTTTCCACGGAGGTCCAGTGCATAAGTCCTCTTCCCTAATCATGGTAAACCAGGTTCAATTATTTTCTCCCCGTCCTCAATTCTTGTGTTTATAGCATTTACCACCCTTGCCACAGTCAGATTTTCATCAGTAAGATAAGACCTATATATTGCATGTCTTCATTTTTCTACATCTTTAGGACATAGCACAATGAAAGACACATAGTGAGAAAATGTTGATTGAATTGGTTTGAATTCTTCACTATTAGGCTGTTGTGATTTTCTGAACTAATAATCAGTAATCCTGGTTCCGTTTGAAACCACTTAGCTCTCATGGCTCAGTTTCCTTATCTATAAAACCCAAATGATGTTGACCGTCCCCTTCCTCACTAACATGTTTATCTTTGCTTAGGTAAAAATATATCGCATTTCTTCGGCGGTTGATGTAATGCTGCCCTCTAATGGCCTATTGCAGCAATTTCCTGGAGCATCCAGCCTTTAGACCAGTGCTGTCCAATAGAAACACGTGAGTCACATATGTGATTTAAAATTTCCTAAAAGCTACATTGAAAAAGTAAAAGGAAACATGTGAAAGTAATTATAATACTTAATGGTTTAGTAGTTAATTTTATTCTAATTTAGTTTGTTCCCATCACAACAGATCTGAATGAATGCTGAGTGACTGAAATTTTGGGGTCTGGCTTCTAAAAGATCACCTGCTGGGGCATTGACAAGTGTATTCATGTTAAGGGCACTAATGAGTTAATGTGCTATACTCATAGGTATTTTGTTTCACAGTGGCCTTCTAGAGACAAAGCCAAGAAGGGTCTTGATTGGTAGACAATTCAGGAAGATTTCAGTGAATCTCCTAACTCTAGACTATTTTGCCTGATTTCTAGCCCATCCTGGATGGCGGAGGCCTCTTACCTCTGCCTGTAATGCCTGGTGTGATGGTTGTAGCTGGCTGTCTGGGGCCTGAGCCTCTCCGGTGCTGAGGTCGTTGAGCCTGTGGTGGACAGCAGGAGGGTGGTGGGCTTGGCAGCTGCCACTGAAGACGATCTGGAAACTCGAGGGCGACGGGTGATTGTGGTGGTGGGGGAGGACTGGTGTGTTGTTGGGGCCTCTGTCCTTGGAGCTGGTGTGGTTACTGCAGGAGGTAGAAGGAAAAAGTGACCTTCCACACATACACTCTAGTCTCCAGCAGGATTCAGTCACCATCTCTTTCCTGAACACACTCTTCCCTTTCATGACGACTACCTTTGCCCCTTTACTCCTAATGGCCTGAAATGCCTTCTCAGCATGCCATCTACACCTAATAAATTCTATCCATATTTGCTTCAAACACCGTTTTCTCCAGGAAGGCTTCCCTGACTTCCTAGGCTTGCCCCCCTCTGAGCCTGGAGAAAACGTTGTAGTTCAATGTCCACTGCCATGTGCTTATCTGTTCTCCGCGACCCCACACCTGTCAGTCACAACCAGGGCTACGTGATGACCTACGCCTCTTGGCACACAGCAAGTCCTCTAGTGACACAGTGTTCAGTTAGTGTATCTACCTTACAGGGTAGCTGTGAGGATATGATGGAAACATGGCGTGTCAAAATGCATTTAAAACAGGAAAATGTTATAGAAATGTAAAGGTATCAGTAGTATAATCGGTGTTATTTTTTCCCTGCAAAATAGAGTTGTTAAAATCACTGTATGCCAGCAAGTGGAAGACAGCCCTGTGGGCCGCAGGAATCATAATGAGCTCCAGCTGGGAAACGTCTGCCCAATTTTGATTTCCACACTCATTCATAAAAGAGCTAGATTTTCTGAATGGAGCACAAACTTCACTACTTGTAGGGCCACCTAGTGGTGATGTAAATTCTGCAACTAGAGCTGAGTGTCCAGGCTGAAGGCTGGGCTCAAAGGACATAGAAGTAGATCTCAGGAATGTACCCTCTCCTAAGGCAGGGAAACACACACCCGAGGCTCAGCTCTGCTCTGCCAATCACTATATGAACAAACCCTCTCCATTTTCACAGTGCCATATCACCTCCCCCACCTCCCCTACCCTAGCTTTGGGAAACTGACCTTTGGATGTGAATTCCAAGGAACGGGTATGTTCAGGGCTCCGGAACCAAGGGGGCAGCCGCATCTGTGGAAGTTTCTGAAACCACGGTGGACCCTTAGGCATCGGCTCATCCCAGAATGGATCGTACTCTACTGGAGGCAAGAGGAATACACTGGTGGGCTCAGGGAGGAGAAGAAAGCCTGGGGAAGGGACAGTGAGTGGTAGGAGCTGAAGCGAACTCAGCCAGGGGGGATGGCGGTGCAGGGAGAAGGGCAGAGCCCACCAAGAGGAGAGAAAAAGAACAGGGCTGGGGGCTTCCCTGAAATAAAAACCCTTTCACCCTGACCTAGTCAACCATCCCTGAAAAGCCACCAGCGGCCACTGGGTTTCCAGGCTGTTGAATTAGTGCTGCGTATGTGTGACAAAGTGGGTGGGAAAAAGGAGAAAGGTTGCACTCAGCAGAAAAATGGAAAGGATCAGATCATAAACAAGAAATTCGGCCTAAAGATGTGGCTTGAGGAATGACTATCTTTCCTTTGAATTTATCCCTGATATTTCTCATGGGACAGTGATGTCTTTTTGCTTCCAGTTTCCTCCAGTCTCAGGGCCTCTCCTCAAGCTCAAGGCCCCACCCCTCTCATGTCCTGGGTTAAATGGATACAACACAAGGAAAGCACCGATCTTGTTTGGATAGACAATCCTGTGGCCCATGAATTTAATCAACTCTGTGAGGTTTCAACTCGACAAATCTCAGTACTTATTGGACTGGCTAATATGGCAATAGCATAAGGGTCCGGGGGATTCTATAGTTCAATGGCTGTCCCAGCTTTCTCGAGTGGAAATGTTCTCTGATGGGCTGAGCCTCCATCAGGGCGGGCACCTACCACTGTAGACATTCAGGATGACTTTCTGGGTCTTGCCCCGGTCTGTGTTCACGCCTGTCCCACAGGCATACACTCCACTGTCACTCTTGGTCAGATCTGTCACCTCCACTAGGAACAGATTATGGTCTGGATACAGCTTCATGGTGACTCGGTCCTTGTATTCCTTCTTGACAAAGGTCTTGCTGGACACCACAGTCATACATGCTTGAGATTCGGGCATCTCCCGGCACAGATATATCCTCACAGGTATTTCAGGAAGTGGACACTCAATGGTAATAGATCCGCCCAGCATCCCTTCCAGCTTGACTTCTGGGAGTATCCTCAGAGCTCCAGAGGCTGCAGGAAGAGGGTGTTAATGTATAGGAAGCCTCATTCCCAGCCACACTCTAACTCCAGTCCTCTTTCCAGCCCAAGCCCAGTCCAGTCTCAGCCTCAGTCCTGTCCTGATCTCTAGCCCTAGCCTGATCCCCAGCCTTTTCCATTCCCTCTCCTGTTTACATCCTCAGTTCAACTCTGGGTTCATCTTTGTGCCCAAACTTGTGTCTCAGGATGCTTCTCCCCAGCCCTAGCCTGAAATAACCCTCAACTCATCACCAAACCCATACCCAAAAGGACCAAGACACCAACCCTCCAAGAATACAGTCAAAACTACTACCCCGCTCTAAGAAGACAGCATATTCCATGGTAACTGCAAACAGCACATAACGTTTGGGTGACTTCAGTGTGGTGTTGGGAAGCAGGGTACAGTTTTGCTGCAACAGGGTTTTCTGTCTAGTTTTGTTTTGCTCAGATCCATTCAGCCAGAACAACCATTCACACCCAGTGCTATTTTTAAATCATTCAGTACAAACAGCAGCCACTACAGCACTGTGTCGCAGATCCCATGAAGAGGCTCGGAGACACACAGCCTTGGAAGCAGCAGGCAGGGGTACCTGATCCAGGCTGTTGCAGGGGGATGGTGTAGTTTGAGGAAGGTTTTCTGGAAGAAGTGATATCTCAGTTGTGACCTGAAGGAGTGGGCATGGAGGGCAACTGAGGGATGATGATGGTCTTCACTGACGTAGGGAACATAGAGGGAAAGCAAGGGTGTATGTGAGTGTGTGTGCATCAGTGTATATACTGTGTGTGCATTGGGGAGGGTGTGGAGCAGGAAGGGATAAAAGATGTGGTTCATGAATCCCTGACATCAAAAGCTATGCTTTGGCTGAAGAAGGCAGATCTAACACAACTGGAGAGGAAGGTAAGGGTCCAATAAGTGTCTGCATATTTCTGGCAAGAAGGTTCCTAGTGTGACATGTGTGGGGGGGAGCGGGGCTGGAGGACTTTAATGGAGGAGGAGAGATGCTTCCAGCAATAACAGCCTCCATAAGGGCCAGGACATGAGACAGAACACAGCAGCGTGTTCATAGGATGGAGAGAAGTTTACGAACTTCCCAAAATTCATCCACAGACCACACGTTAAGAATAGCTCCTGGGAGTTTGGAAAAATGAGGAGAGTCAGGAAAAGAAGTGGGGCTTGGGGCTTGCAGATTATCAGAGACCCGAGGAAGACGTTCAAGGAGGGGGGAAGCATGGAAACGTGCAAAGAAGTAGGAACAGCCATGGAGATGTGAGATGAGGGAGAGGAGGCTAGAGAGGGGCTGGACGGGAGCATTTCCAGGACCTGTTACTATCGAGAAGTGTAGCTGTGGTAACGTGGTAGGAAGAAGCAGAGGGACCAGCCAGCTATATAAGATTTAACACAGAAACCCTGACATGAATAACCCCAAACTGCTTTAAATCCACTGGGAATCGAGATATGTGTGGTAGTCTCGTGAGTGGAATGTAGCAATGGAAGGGTGACCTGTGCAAAGGACAAAGACCTAATAAAGGGGGTGGGGGAACCACCCTGTGTGTCCAGATGGCCCGCACCTGCATGTAAATTCCAGCACTTGAGAATGAACACATCATTGTTTTTGGACCAACTCAGCCGGAAATGGGCGTGAATGCTGCTTTTCCAGGCGCAAGATGCTGTAAAGCGGTCAGGTGCATGACAGAGCAGGGACGGGTCATCACCTAGGTGGACACCTCCAGTGCCTCACTCCACCCACCCCTGGCTTGCCCAGATCCTCTGTTATGAGCTCCATGTTTGTGTCCCTCCAGAATCCAATGTGATGTTCTAACCCTCAATGTGATGGTATTAGGAGGTTAGGCCTTTAGGAGGTGATCAGAATTAGATGAGGTCATGAGGGTGGAGACCTCATAATGGGATTAGTGGCCATATTCTTTCCATGCATACAGAAGAGGTCACATAGCACACAGGGAGATGGTGACCATCTGCAAGCCAGGAAGAGGGCATCTACTGGCACCTTGATCTTGGACATCTAGTTTCCTGAACTGTGGGAAGTGAACATCTGCTGTTTATACCATGCAGTCTGTGGTGTTTTGTTACAGCGTCCTCAGCTGACTAAGACATCCTCATTGTACAAACGCTGGACCAGGTAAGCACAAGAAAACTGCATCTCAAGGAAGCACTAGATGGCAAGATAAAAATGACCAGACCCCAGCTCTCCTTCCAGTTCATAGCAGCCCCTAACTGACATCCACGGCTTAGAAAAGCAGATTTCCCTAGCAGAAGAAAGATAGAAATAATCCCCTGGTTTAGAATGTATGCACAGTGTGCTAAGATTCATGTGGAGGGAACTTGCCAGGACGCAGATGACCTTCATCTACCCTTAGGTATGGTGATTACATGGGTACAGGCTGGGGCCAAGGCATCTGCATGGTAAATAAGCATGTCAGGTGCCCTTAAAGTTTTGTAATTCTGGGCTATAACTACCTTTCCAAATGATTCTGGGAAAAAAGAGAGAGGTGAAAGAAGCCATATAAAGGAACCAAGGTGTTTAATGGTATTTTAGAAAAGCTACTAAGTAAGTGACATCAATCTATGATGTGGTGACTGGATTTACAGTGGTGCTGTTGGGGAGAAAGGGATATAAATGATTTCAAACGTTACTAATTATATAATTAGATCTAAATCGATGTTTGGGCTGGAGGAAGAAAGATGGCTGCAGCCTAAGGAAGTTTTGTCCGCTTGCTCCCAACACCTGACCGGACTTGTGCCTAAACTGCAGAGCATTGGACTTGAAAAACCATCTAAAAGTAACCGATTGGCGGGCAGGGGAGTGCAGAGAGGGGACAGAAGATGCCGAGTGGGCGAGCCAACCTGTGCAGCCGGGCATCCTGGCTGGGAAGCCAGAGGTAAGGTGTGGCAGACAGCTCCTACCAACCGGGAGTGGGGGGACTCAGCCCCACGCAGGGATCCCCAAACGAGAGCACCACAGAAGGAAGGGGAGCCCACGTAGGAATCAGAGGTGATTCTGCCCACAGGGGCAGGGGGCTCAGACAGCACTATCCCAGGCAAAAAGCGCATGCTTGGTTACAACACCAGCCTGGGAAACACCAGCCCGGGAAGCTCTCCCTTATTGGGGTCTGCGGGAGGGACCACTAAGTCTGCCGGCCCGGTCGAAGGGCACGGGGCCTGCGGAGGCATCTGAGCAGATCACCAAGCAGTGATTCTGAGAGGACTTTGACAGGGGCTATTCAGAGTGCCTGGGGAAAGAGGGGTGATCCTCCCCACCTCAAGCGTAGAGGAGGCTTCCTTCCCCCACCTGTGGAACAGCTCTGGGCTAGAAATCTGCACCCTGGCGGCTCCGCCTGGTGGTGCACGGGGCTCTGGCCTGATGGGAGCTTGGGGAGTGAGAGCCAGCGGTGCAGAAAGACGGGGGAGTCAAGCAGGGCTTTTTTCTTTTCTTTTCTTTTCTTTTCTTATAAATGTAAGTTCTATCACCCCCTGCTTTGGATGGTGACCAGAGCTGAAGCGCTGGAAGGAGAGGAAGCACCTGCCTGCCCCGTCTACAAGCTATGGGCACCACCCACAATGCAAATCTGTTTAAACCGTACTGACCAGACTTGATAGCCCACAGAGCCTAGTTCCGTGGGGGAAGGGAAAGCAGCCCAGAACAAGTACACTCAAGGTGCAAGTCCTGAAGCAGCCTCTGGGATAAGGAAGCCCCCTCACTGGACAACTTGGGGACCCACCCTGCAGAGCATGTACTTCAGTTGCAGTTTGTCCCGGGCCCTGGTTGGTCCTGCAGGTGGCAGCCACTCGATGTGTCCCTTTCACGTCGATGTTTTTCTCTCTCTTTCTCTTCCTCTCTCTCCCTCCCACTCTATCCGAACAAAAAATGGGAAAATATCCTCGGGTGAGGATAAAAAAAGAAAAAAATAATAACCTTAAATGTAAATGGCTTAATGCTCCAATCAAAAGATATAAGATAGCTGAATATATAAGAAAATATGAATCATATATAGGCTGTCTACAAGAGACCTCAGACCTCAGAACAAAAGACTCACAAAAGATGAAAGTAAAGGGATGGAAAAAAAATGTACCATGCAAATGTAAATGAAAAAATAGCTGTGGTAGCAATACTCCTATCTGACAAAATAGACTTCAAAATAAAAGCCATAACAAGAGACAGTGAAGGCCACTGCCTAATACTAAAGGGATCAATACAACAAGAGGGTTTAACCCTGGTCAACATATATGCACCCAATATAGGAGCACCCAAATATAATTTTAAACCTTCTGTAGAACTTTAAGGGAGATATCAACAGCAACACAATCATACTAGGGGACCTTAACATTCCACTGACATCATTGGATAGAACTTCTAGATAAAAAAAATCAACAAGGAAACAGTGACCCTAAAATGACACACTAGATCAGATGGATTCAACAGATATTTATAGAACATTTCACTGCAAAGCTGCACAATATATATTCTTCTCAAGTGCTCATGGGACATTCTTAAAGATAGATCACATGTTAGGACACAAACTAAGTCTCTACAAGTTCAAGATGATTAAAATCATATCAAGCATCTTCTTGGATCACAGTGGCATGAAACTAGTAATCAACAACAATAAAAACACTAAAAACACATGGAGGATAAATAGCATGTTATTTATTAAACAATGGATAGGTTACCAAACTATCAAGGAAGAAATAAAAAACTTTTGGAAACCAATAAAAATGAACATACAACAACCCCAAATTTATGGAACACAGTGAAAGCAGTCCTGAGAGGGAACTTCATAGTACTACAAGCCTACCTCAAGAAACAAGAAAAATTTCTAATAAACTATCAACCCTATAACTTAAAGAACTAGAAGGAGAACAAGAAAAGCCCAGAGTAAGTAGAAGAAAGGAAATAATAAAAATCAGAGTGGAAATAAATGACATAGAGTCCAAAAATCAATACAAAAGATCAATGAAACCAAGAACAGGTTCTTCG